AGCATATGGTTGCACATTATTCAAGCAATAGAAATCACATGTCATATGTTCATTAGCTCCAGTATCTAAGATCCAAGCATTACTCAAGGTCAGGGCAAAGGCCATAAGAGAAACAGAAGTACCTGTAACATTGGTGGAGGAATCAATACCTTGCACAACATTTGCAATGATAGGAGAACCATTTTTGCCCAAGAGCTTCAAAATTTCCTGATATTGTGCAGCAGAGAAGATTGGGTTACTGATAGTTGCAGAAGGCTGAGAAGGTTGAAGTGAAATTGAAGATTGCTCTTCTGGTGTATATACAGTATTATGAGCTGTCGGCGATTTATTAGTGCTACTTTTCTTATTGCTGTTCCTATGACGATTATCAAGATAGTGTAAAACCCCTCTCCAGTCAAGTATCCTCTGAATATCCCTCAATGAGAATCTCGGAGATACATGTCTGGAGAACGAGTTGTATTTAGAAAAAATCCGTGTAAGGATAATAATAATAATATCCAAAACATGCATATAAAATGTCACGCAGGATCCAAACTTATATTTTATTAACTTTAAGAATTTATCCTTAAATTACACAATCAAAACATATTTATAGGGTGGAAGCTTCCAAAGGTGTTTCACAAACATTTATCATTTACATTATTTACATCAAGATAAAAACATCAAGATGACAATAAATCATCTCCCCTCACGTGGAGTCCCGTTGTCTCTAGCATCCTTTGCTTCTGGTCTACCAGCAAAGCAATCAACAATGAAAGGGTGAGTGCTAATCGCTCAATAAGGAATGATCCATTGCATTCTAAATGTGCTATTTGACCCTCATTTAAACATATTTGTTAACACACCACTTATCTTTTACATCTAAGGATACTTTCCTTTTTTTTTTTCCTTTCTATTTCATATGTCTTTCATCATTTTATCTCATGGCTATATAAACATCAATGCATACATATACAAATAAGTATGTAAACATAGTACACACACATTACATGTCATGATATAACATTTAAATATCATCTAACATGAGTATAAATCATCTCATGATGTAAATAACATCATAACTCATGTAGTGCAACTAAATGCATATGAAGCATTTAACGTGTAGTCGATCGGACTTTTCTTAGCGTCTTAAGCACTTCATATCATCTAGCCTCAAATTCATATAGAGCTCATATTATCGAGAGGCGTGCTTATGCGTTATTTAATATCTAAAGCATATATTCATCTTTCCTCAACCAGTATACGAGGATATGCTTACGCGTTTGTCATCATGTCTATATGCATCTCTAACATCTTATGGCATGTAAATACATATTTTAGTGAGCTTAATACTTTTAATTCATCTATGGATTATCAATCCATTTACATTACCCTAAACCTCTTGCTCACATACATCATCTTAAAACATGTAGTACATTGCATCTTTATGTCATTTCAAAACATTAATCATGCATTGACATCATGACCATGTATATTTTTCAAAGATCATCTAACTAATGGGTAAACAATACATGGCATAATTACAATAATACATTAATAATCATAAGAATTGATCATGTTAAATCTTAAACTTTAATAACCAGTTTATACTTCAGGCCATTTTCCATCTATTTCTCAAACGAATTGGCTCTTGGCATAAACATAAAAGTTATAGGGTTGTATCTTAACTTTCTAATGCTTCAAGAATCATCTCATTTTGATTTTTATAACTCAAGTTGTGGTCAAAATACTGAAGTATGTTTAACATAACCCCTAAGCTTACTAAATCCGAATTTTTCATATTAACTATGCCACATCAATTCCTATTGACAATTAACTAATAGTTCAACTTATGGATCAAATAAACCTCCCCTTAATAGTCTTTAACATCTTAAAGGAAGTGTAAAATCTTATTCCCATAATCATCCATTATTGTCATAACATTGTAAGCTAATGCAAACAACATCTCAACACTTTTAATAGCAACCATTCAACACCATGTGGCCTCCAATACTACAAGTTTTGCCACAATCAACATCCATACTTCATTTTCTTCAATCAAGCATAACAACTCATAAAACATAAATAGCAATAACTTCATGTATAATGAATTCAAGGCAATAAGTAGAATAAATGAGTTCAATTACACTTGCCATCAACTAATTCTATGCCTTAAAGCCTTAATTTAAGGTTTCATAAAAATCTACAAACCCTAGCATAATCCCTAAAGTCATTGGAGGTTTTTCCTTACCTTTTTAAAGAATTCCTCCAACAAATCCTTTGCCTTTGTCTTCTTTTACACCTTAATCCTACATATATAACATTATACCTCAACATCTACTTCAAATCTTCAGATCACATCAAAACTAAGGTTTTTAATCCTTACCTTAAACCCTTCAAATTGAAGATCCAAGGGTCCTATCTTGTTCTCCTTGAAAAATTATGCAAAACTCCTTTAAAACTTAGAAACAAAAAGCTTGTTTCATGGAAGATTTGAGAGAAAATGGAAGAAATGCTCTCTCCCTTGGCTTGAACGAATTTCATCTCATTTATAGGAAAATATTTCCTTAATTTTCCAAAATTATGCTATTGGCCCAATTATTTTAATTGTATAACTCATAAGTCCTTAATTCTTCATATAAGGGCATTTTGGTCATTTCGCACTAGACATAATTATTACTTAATTAATGTCATTAAATGCAATTAAGCCTACTCATCCTTGACTTTTTTAATGCTTATCCATGGGCAAAATGACTATTTTGCCCCTAATGCCTTTCTATGGATAATTGATTCATACCTTTCCAAATGAATCGACTATTTTGCCCTTAGTTAGATTTTATGCTTTTTAACATAAAATTAACATCTAAAGGACTATTTTGAGTTAGGAACATACCTTTAACATCTTGGGTATTACAGATAGCCATGAAGCTTCCAACAAAAATCAATTGTGTGGTTTTTCAAATGGCAAAAGTCACATTGCATTATTTTCTTCTTAGATTGCAAATCTTTATTGCCTGTATTAGATGAATGGGTAATAGTGTCCTGAGTAAGAAAAGCCGCAGCATGAGACTGACTTTGAGTAGAATGGGTAATTCCCCTATGTTTTTCTTCCTGAATGAGCATCCCATATACCACATTCACCGAAGGCAAAGGATTCATTAAAAGAACAGAACTACGAACAACAGCATATCCTTCATTCAATCCCATCAAAAACTGCATAACCTTTTGAGTTTTCTCATGTTCTTTATAGATGGTAGAGGAAGCACAAGTGCAAGTCGGGGTAGGTACAATAGATGAGTATTCACCCCAAAGAACCTTCAATTTTGTATAGTAAATAGCAATTGAGGCCGAACCTTGCTGCATTGTGGCAATGTCTTGCATAATTGAGTATATTCGTGAACCATTGATTTTGTCAAAAGTCTCCTGAAAATCTTGCCAAACCATCATAGCACTGTTCCTATAGATGACCCTAGCTACTAGATCTTTGGAAATAGAGTTCATGATCCATGACATTACCGTAGCATTGCAACGATCCCATTGTTGTGCTTGGAGAGGATTAGTAGGACGCTAAATGGTTCCATCAATAAACCCTAAGTTGTTCTTCGCAAGTATGCGATCTTCATCGCATGACTCGACGTACTATAATTGTCACTTCCAATCAAAATTTGACTTACAATCTGACTTCCCGACGTGTCCGAAGGATGTATGAACAGTGGATTGTTGTAATCAGCGGCCATGATTGCAGCAGGAAAAGACCTAGAGTTGTTTGACTCCATTACTGAAAAAAATTGTGACAAAGAAGAAAAATTGGGAATCAATTGAGTGAAGACGAAAAAATCGAGTTGATTCAGTCTCGATTCTGAAAAAATATGGTAGAAATTTGGTGGTTTTGACCCAAGATTAGTTGCTCTGATACCATGTTACAAACTATGTAGGTTTCAGAGAGAGTAAAGTAGAGTCGGGAAGAAGAAGTTTTATTCAATTGATTCTGTTGCTTTTTACAACTAATTTCTTTCTCTTAAATAACTAATCACTATGACCAATTATATTGAGACATCTGGACTTCCTATTTATAAATCTGCTTCTATTATTTACAATTCATAAACATCATCCAATATTTTTAATGTTGATTGAGTTATATCTCAATTACAATAGTTTGGTTTACATTATTCGATGGAAGCAAGGACTATTTTATGTTAAAAAAATAAAATAAAACAGAGAAAAAGAGTAACTTAAAAGTATCTTTCTACTAAAATAGTTTTATTTCTGTCTCCTTATCTTATATTTTCTCTCGCAATAGCCCATTAGACTTTTGGGCAAGATTCTTTACATAAGCAGTTCGTATTTATTTTTGGATTTGAGCTTGATTTGCAAAGCTGTAAGGCCCAACAACATTGCGGATTGGTCTCTAATTTATGTCAATAAACTCTTTCTAAAGCCTTTCTTTTTTCTTGGGTTAGTTTGTGCATACCTCAACTAATTCTTTGGAGTCTTGAAAATCTCTTCAATAGCCCCTTGTTATTGTCTGGGAGAACTCAAACTTAGAAATCCATGTTAAACCTCTTTGCTCTTTTACCATCAAACCATCAAATGGTGATTAGATCTTTTTAAAGTCACCCACGTAATTTTGGCTCCTGATTTCAAACAAACATATTTCACAGCGCATTAGTGAACATACATATGGTGATAAACTGATAATACACAGAATCAAATATATATTTCTCTTGGTCTCGTTTATTTTGTATTTTTAACTGCATTGATATTTACATTATTCTAGGTGAAAATATAAGTTTATGTAATTGAAAACGTCATTGGAAATCTAAAAGGAACAATTCCTTGCTAATCTAGGTAGGATCTAAAGGTTGGCATGGGCAAGTTTCACTTTCTCCTAGAATTTGATTCTATTGATAAAATCTAGCAACAAGACTGCAGAGAATATTCGAAAGACACCAACACTATGCATGGTAAAAATAGAAAGTCATGCTAAATGAACATAAAAAAGTAAAAGAGGAAATGAAATGTAGTAATAAGAACATAGATATATATGATTAATAATAATTTGGTTTCTCACATTAAAATGTGAGCTCAAATTAAAAAACTGGGTAGTCCCAGTTGGAGAGAGACAAACAGAGGGCTTAGGAATATGAATAATACATTAATTTTAAGAATTCGTGGTGCACAAATTCAGCTGAAAACTTCCAAAATTTTCAGGACTTATTTTCAAGTTCCTTGAGTAATGGGACTCTTAGCTTGAATCTTCAAGCTGACAACTCCATCAGCCCCATCGATGCTGTCATTACCATCAAATTTGATTGATCTATCTCCGTTTGTAATCGGCAATTCCTGGGCACCGCTTTTCTCAAGGGCCAAGGATGGTGCTGAGCTAAGTCGACCATCTTTGCTTTTGCCCCAAACCACAGTGTAAAGTCCAAACACAATGAGAATGGCTCCAAATATGCTGAAACATACACAAAGAATAAACACGCCATTGTCAACTTTTGTTAGATTAGTTTAAAAAATATAAATTATGGGGATAAGTTTAGCATATTTACCTTCCAAGGTGGACTTGCTCAGCCAGCACTACAGCTCCTAAAGAGGCGGTAATGATCATGCATAGAGGGCTGAAAGATGTCACAAATACGGGCCCTCGTTCTCTAATCACAACACCTTGCACATAATATGCAATTCCGGAGCACACTATTCCCTGCCAATTACAAGTTTCAAAGCGTCAAACACCAAAACCATATATGTGTTTAAGTTGCGAAAGAATTTCTGAAGAGTTACTCACTGAGTAAGCAGCAGCGAGGAGTCTTGAGTCGAACCCAATTCTCCAGATGCTCATGTCGCGTTCCATAATGAATGACACGGCTGCACCTTCCACCACGCCCATTAAACATATCAAACTTGAAAGAGAGAGCTCTGCCGGGTACATCTTCAACGTAAATGACTGATCGAATCACAAAAAATTTGATTAATTCAATGACTGATGATATCACAAAAGTGTTGTTTAATTAACCAGTTGGTTACTCACTTGTAGTATGAAGAAGGCTGACCAGCCAGTGCAGCTGCCTAGTAGCATTAGTGTCCCCAGGAGCCAATGCTTATCAGAGGAGTCAGTGGTGGTTCCCTGGTGGTGGCTACCTCCACCAGACCTTATAAAATCGATGAGTGGACCTTTGTACAAAGTCATCACCATAGCTCCTGAGACTGTGATTACTGTTCCGATCACCTTGGCTAGACTGTGTAACTTCTTCGCATTCACGGTCTCTAACCTAATTAATTATAAGATAATTATCATATTAAACATCATTAAATTAATACAAGAAAACATTAATTAGCTCCACTCTTGCAGTACTGGTGCTAGTGATAATAATACATGACGCAATTAGGACCCGACGGATTTAATTTGTCAACGTCGAAAAATCAATTGGTGCAATCTCTTATACATGCTATAACTGCTGCAGAAATTGCGTTATTAATTCTTTTAAAATACTGTCTATTTCACTTTTAAATACTTTAAAATTAAAGCAATTCAATTATCCTAATAATAGGATCATGATGACGTTCGTTTAAAGTGCGATGTTAGTATTGATGTAACTGGACAAACTATTACACTCATATAATTACTAGCTTTAAGAGTTGGTGGTCCTAGTGCAAACTTTTTAAGAAATTCGTGGTGCACTAATTCGTGATTTGTCCTCTTAATTAACCAACATAAGTATATCTTAAAAGATGCATACAGTAAAGAGATTCTGCACCATCATCTATTTATAAAAAAAGACTGATTTATACTTTTAATATATTAGTATTTTATTGTTAAAAAACTCTCTATGATGCTATAAATTTATTTTCATATAAATATGATTATTATTAAGATATATGTTTTGTTTGAACTTTGAAATCAAAATATATATACCTGAAGATAATTGCCATAATGAAGGTAATGGCAGGAAGGACGTTGACCGTGGCAGATGCAAAAGTTGCGGAGGTGTACTTCATCCCCAGGTAGTACAGGTTCTGGTCAAGCACTGGCCTGTTCACAGTTTTATATATATTTTGTTAAAGATACGAACGCTAGTATAAAGAATCTGGTCCGTGCATATATATATATATATATAGGTAAAGACGTGGAAAAGGAGGTGGAGTATTACTCGAGGAAACCAAGAATCAGTATCCTCCAGAACACCGAGAGTGTGAGCTTTGGCCTTATTTTCCTGCATAATTAAGAATTAAAAGCAATCAATAAGATATATAAGAAAAACTACAACCTCAACGTTTGATGGAATAACATATTGAGATTTGAGATCGAAGAGATGGAGGAAGAGGTGAGACCTTTCGAGCACAAGGGCGAAGGGCGCCATGACAAGTGTGGCAACAACGTGACGGTAGACAGCAAGAACGAAATGGCTCATGCCATGTTTCAAAGAAACCAAAGAGATTATGTACATCCCTGCATAGCCAAACTGTAGGGAGACCATTGCTAGGTAAGGTTTAACTCTGTTCACTTTTATGCACAACATCCCACACGGAGCTTGGTCTCCCATTTCTCGCTCTTACAGAAGCAGGGAGTGTTTAATTAATTTCTCTCAAGTAATACTTTACTTCTGTGGTTTGTAGCACGAAACGTCAAGGTCCTTCTTATAGACAAGTAAAAGCTCAAATAAAGAGAAAAAGCATTTCAACACTACACGTATACACGTCGAATTTAGATTCCCTTATCCATCATGCAACAACTAGAATCCTCGATCTCTTCCCCTTAAAATAGAATCAAATAAAATAATAAAGAGAGAGAGAGAGATGGGTTTATTGGACTCTTGAAGTGATAATATTGCTTGCTTTAATTCTCTTTTCATTTGTTGTATTATGAGAAGTGGGGATTTGATTTATTGACCACCAAATAATAGTTAGGCATAGTGGTCTACGTAGGATAAATTACATTCAAAATTAAGTGGTTTTTATAATGCTTGAGTGTGGGTGAAATGAAGAGTGGAAACCATTTATGAAAATAGATGTTTGCATGACTGACTTCGGATACTAATTACTTCCATTGATTTGAAATTTTGCCTTTGTTATTATGAGTAACACTACTCCAATAATCATTTCTTATAAACTTTCTCTCACAATCCTGACGTGACAGTTCGCAATTAATTAGTGTGACTCATACGAGACCCATTGTAAACTGACCAATTGCGAACTGTCACGTCAGGATTGTGAGAGAAAGTTTGTGAGAGAGAATTGTTAGTATAATATTATTCTGTGATTATTCCGTATTTTGACCTTAATCGTATGTCGTTTCTTTTAATGGTCACTTGAAATAATTACGTTTCTGTCATGCTATTACTTTGCTAATTAATTAATTTAAGCATTAAATTTTGACCTAATGTGAAGCGGAAATAATCGAACAACTTGTTTTGTTCCATTGCTTTCAAATGATCATAATATTTGAGAAAGAAAAGTTCGACGTCCTTTGGGCAAAATGAAGGCAGAAATGACGATTGAATGATTGTTTCCAAAAAAAAAAAAAAAAAAATTCTTATTCTCTTTCTCTTCTTTCCTTTAGACCCCATAAATTCACTACTTTCCGACTGCCTAATTTTGCAGCTACACATGCTCAAATCTTTCAAAAAATCTCCATATTGTGTCATATGTCTAATCAGCCCATTTGAAAAATACATGAACATTCTTTTAATATTCACCAAAATAATACTTTCATACACACATCCAACCACAGAATAAATTCACAATTGCCGTTGATGGGTTGGCACCAGGTATGCGACCCACCTGAAAGAACAGTGCACTAATTTGTCCCAAACTTAAGCATGATAATATATATACTTATCAGTTATCAGCACGAGGAGACAATTAAAACGATGGTGCTTTCATGTTTGGAATCCATCGAGAAATCGGGTTGGTGGAATCCCATCTTATGAGAAATGGGAAACATTAGAAAGATATGTCAAGTAAATGTGCTTGTAGGCAAAGCATATCTTATAAAGAAACCATTAAAAATTTTCTCGAAATTATTATTATACAACTAGATAGATGTGGTTAGGAATAATCTAGAACTAGACAACAGTTTCGATAAGAAACTTTTCTTGCTTGCTCGCTTACTCATCATAGAACATTATTGGCCGCGCAATATGTTGACAATTTTCTCTTCATTAATTATATTTCTCTTAGGTTGAGTTCCAGTTGCAGCAAAATTTGTGGAAAGAATATAATATATACAGTAACCTGTAGAGACTGATCGATCTCATGGAACAACTGTACAACTGTATTGAGTTTGGTGAGCTTGCGGTCATATCTCTTCACTACCAATGATTCTTTGGGTAAGTGCATCAGTCATATTCGATCCCACAACATGCCTGACAAAGCAAGCATATTACACCGTCCACATGTAAACCAAGGTTGACATCGATCTAATTGAATTACAGAAGGCAAATATTGCATTTTATATATATATATCTCAGGTATAAATTGAAGGACCATTGAGATATACATCCCATGTAGTACTTTGTTTTGATTACTAGATGTGGGCTTGTTCCCTCTTTCTAATCCTTCTTTTAACATTGTTGTTTTCTTTTTGAGAAACTACGCTAATAAGCTACTTTATTCCATATTCACATCAAAAATTTAGTGAGAGAGAAGTTTCATTGCTCTAAAAAACAGGAATCTTGGAATTTAATTCCATGCAAAAATTTGACATATAGAAAAATCACGGTACACATGCAGATTCGATAGTATGAATATGATTGATAGAACCGTAATGTATATTTTTTTCCCAATGTATTGATAAGATATACAAGATCACCTTGCTACGATCACCTGCAGGGTGATATGTTGTGATTGTGAAGATCGACTTGATTAATTATAACAACTTCCACTTCCATCAATTATAATTCGGCTCCAATTAATATTTACGAAGTTTCGGGCTAACACTGTTCACACATGAGATGGAACACTATTATTTGCCCGTACGAAATTGAAGAGTAGTAGCCTAATTAAAGGAAGGCTATACATAGATCTTAGATTAGTTTTGAATGGTGAAATGGGAAAATCTTATGCTATGCTCCAGCTTTCTGTTCATTGTTCATTGTTGCAGTGACCGACTTAGATCCATCACTTGCAGTAACTGGTAGTTCTTGGGCATCCTCTTTTGTCGGTGCTGAACCTGAATAGTCCTTGCTTTTACCCCACACAACAGCGTAGAGGCCGATTGCGATTATAATCCCTCCAAGAACACTGAGAAAAGAGAAACCCAAATTCGTCATTAACTTAATCTTTTTGAGTCTGAATATATAATATTTTTCAATCTTAAATTATGATGAATGGAATACCTTCCAAGGTGAAGTTTTTCGCGTAGGATAATGGAGCCTAGAATAGCCACAATGATCATGCATAAAGGGTTGAAGGCTGTGACGAATACTGGGCCCTTTGTCCTCAAAACAAGCCCTTGCACGTAGTATGTTATTCCGGAGCTAACAATTCCCTGTTGTTTTATGAATTAATGCAGCAAATAAACCAGTTGTTAACTTAACCTTTCGTAAACAGTCGTTTATTATAGTTAATTATTCAACATTTAAAATATTTATGAAGAGTTTGATGGTAATTACTGTATAAAGTGGAGCTAAAATCCTGGAGTCCCAGCCCACTGCCCATCCACTGGCGCGACGCTCTACAGCGAGCGCTATTGCTGCACTTTGCAAGGTGCCAGAGAAGCATATCAAGCAGGATAGAGAGAGCTCTGCTCGGTATTTTTTAATCGTGACCGACTGAAACATGTGAATTAGATTCAATTTATTAAGAAACTTTAACAGTCATATCAAATATGCCATGAGACAGAGTGTTAAATAAGATGTTATAAAACGATCACTAAAGATCAGATGAAACAGAGCATAAGGATACAATCCCAAATACAACGGCTTAGAAGAATGGTGTTCTCATTTTCAGTAATATTTAATTTAGACTTTGTAGAATCTGTACAGTGCTGTACTATTTAAGGTAACAACTCCAATTAGAATAATAAAAAGTTGGATTCTTAACTTTGGCCTTATGTAAAAAAGTAGAAAACATATCTAATTTGATAATTAATATTTTAAATTGGGTCCCAAACGTATAAAGTTAGTACAAATATATAAAACATAATAATTTTTGTAGCCAGAATCATAGGTAATCCTATAATCATATGCATCCAAAAATTTATGGAATTTGGCGGCATATATGTGAAATAGGAAGACTTACTTGAAGTACGTAAAAAGAGGACCAAGCGACGCAGCCGAGAAGAATTAATAAAGTCCCGGCGACCATGTGTTTATCTGAAGACCCACTGCTGCTGCTTTCATGGTGGCTTTCTGTATGCGACCACGGCATATTAAGAACAGGGCCTTCGTAAAGTGCCATCAACAAAGCTCCTGCAAGGGTCACTACGGTCCCCAACACCTTGGCTTGACTATATGTTTCCTTGATGTTTATGCGCTCTAATCTGGGCTCATAATAATTAATTCAAATATTTTTATTTTTATTTTACTATATGATTATTAGCAAATAAAGATTATCAAATAATTAATTTATTTTACATATTGAAATGGAAGATGACTTCATTCAAGCACTGAATCTAGATATTTCCTCTGATAAAAGAAATAAAAGTTATTTACAGTGTCGCTAATTAATTTAGTTATTTGAATATTAGTACATTCTAGCGCATAAAGTGGTTTTAAAATTGTCCACCGTATCCACATGCATGGAATTCTGGTATAGTTTTCCATTTATTCCAACATATAGTTTAATAATTTATATATAGTAAGATATTCTCCTTATTTTTATAAATTAATTAATTAACTTTCTCAAAGATTAAGCAGATCGATTTAAAATGGATATGGACTTACCGAAAAATGACAGCAATGACAAAAGTGATAGAGGGAACTGCATTCATAATGGCAGATGCATATGATGCCGATGCCCATTTCATCCCCAAGAATGTGAAGCCTTGATCCAGGATTGGCCTGTTAATAATATATCAAGTAATAAGCATATATAAGTCTAATTTCCGTAAGGCTTTAGTGAGATAATGAAGCATGATCATGTTCTTTAATATAATGTTAATTTTTACTATAGATAGATGGATCTTAACAATTCATTTCAATATCTATCAGTTTGTAACCGATATTAAAGTTCAAAAAGAGTTGGTTTTGCATGCATAGTTGTATGAAGAGACAAACTCATTCGAATCATGCATAGTTTTTTTTCGTTTTCTCACTCTAGTAAAGTATTATGTCTATATGTATATGTGTGTGTGTGCGCGCGCGTGTGTGGGTTAGAAAGCATACTCCAAAAATCCTAGCATCATTATTTGTAGGAAGACTGAAATTGTCATCTTCGGCCTTGTTTTCCTGCACGAAAGAAATTGGCAAGGAAGCAGAAAGAATAAAGTTCAGATTTATATCAATTATATAATGGCAATAATTTGTTAAAGGTAACTATATCAGTGTGCATATATAAAGTGCTTCATTTTGTTTCATAAGTATATAGTTTCTTAATCGTTAAAATGGGCTCAGCGAAAAAGAAAGAAGAGTTTCAAATTCACGTCGCCTCAATAAAATAGCAATATAATTAGCAGAAAGTTTCTATACTGACAAATCAATTTCGCCTCAGTGTATAGAAGCGTTTATTAAAAAAAGGAAAAAGAAGAGTAGAGTATAGTTTGTGGTTATTTTTTTGTAAGGAAAGGAAGATCCACCTTTCAAGAACCAGTGCAAAAGGTGCAAGGACAAGAGTGGCAATGGCATTTCGATACACGATGAGCACATAACGGTTCATGCCATGGTTGAGAGTGACCATGCTAACTATGTACATACCAGCTGCCCCGAATTGCAAGAACACCATAAGCAAATAAGGTTTCAACTTATCGAAATTTGCCATGCTTGAAGTGAAATTTTAATAAAGAGATGCTCTTTCTTTGCGATTGAAAGATGCAAAGAATTAATCAACTGCCTACCCTTCTTATACCCACCAAAAGTAGAACCTTACGTATATATTTCAAAATATTATGCCTTGCTTATGTCATCAATCAATGTAATTACTTCTGATTCTGAGTGCGCTTGTTTATTAATTATATAATTAATTTTTCCAGAGACTACACAAATATTCTTTTGATCAAGTGCTGGGGAGTGGAAAACATCACTGTTTTCGGTCCAAACCTACGCTCTTAGTTAATGCAAGTAATAATCAACTCAAGATTATACAGTTTCTACCAGCTTAACAAATTTAATTATATCTTTCGATAATTCCTTTTATATAAAGTTTTTGTTTATATTTCTATTTGCATATGCATGATGAAATATCGAATACATATTGCCCAGGCAGTAATTAATGAACCTGATTTAAAAATTATTCATGTTACACAATGTTGAATTTATGTAAAGTAACCTAATCCTATATAATATTATTATGATTCTTTTTATATATTTTTCTTGACGAAGAAAAGTGAAATACTATATATTATAAAAGAATAACATGGATAATTTTATTTGGTGCAAGTGCATTTTGAGATCAGCTGCCATTTGCGGAAGAGGGAAGAGTGCTTAATCGATTGTTTTGTCTTGCTAAGTGGGAAGAGCTGTCCTACTCAACCATCCTAAAATAATTATCCACACATTCCTAGCTATAACCTATTTGATGATTTTTTGTAAAGCAGCCTAATATTTTGCTTTAATTACTTTGCATCAAAGTGATTCCATTTCGAAATATCTTGGAAATATATAGATACGTTATACGTACGTTAAATGAATGTGATCCACATGAAACGTATACCAAAAATGTAGGCAAAAATATACAAGAAACAATTGGAAGAAAGAAGAAATATTGGATTAAGATTCCCGTCGGCCCCCAGATACTGGGATGTGTCAGTGATTCCAACTTTAATATATTTTATAATTCCATTCGTTAATAACAGTAGAAATTTTACTTCTAGTTGCTTTCCCATTCAGATTGCACAATAACGTGTGGACAGGAATAATTAAGGAAAGCAATTTCTGTCCATGGTTCCATGGAATTATATAAAGTTGAGCTCTCCACGTCAGTGATCGATCAGTATCACAATCTTATGGGTCTGGTCTCTAACAGTTTTGGAAGGTTAATTAGAATTTCTTCTTTCATATTTTATCTTAACATATATACCAAAGAATTGATTCTTTTCATATAAATATCTATCAAGTAGTATGAGAACATTTTTATTTTTACCTAATTATATGTTTATGACCGGCTTAATGAAATTGTTAGGATAAGAGAAACAGTTTTCGTTATGGGAATCAACTAAAGATGTTCTGACTTCTTCTGATATGTTATTTTGCTCCAACACATCACCTCATGGATGCTCTGTATTGCTTCATATCTATGATATTCTTTATCTTACTAGACAGATATATGCAAATTCTCAACGCCAACCCATTGTCAGCTACACTACACAGAATATATTTAGGAATTTTCGGAAAGGCAATGGGTGGTGAAATGACCAAGACTAAATGAGTGTTTGTCTGAGCTTATGAAAATTAGCTTATAAGTAACAAGTGTTTATAAGCTAATTTTAGCTTATAAGCATTTGAAATTTTAAGCAATTACATATTTAGTTAAAATACTTATAAGTGACTAATAAGTAGTTGACATGTTTAGTAAAATGTGGTTTATAAGTACATTTTATTATAAAATGACTAAAAAATGTACTACATTAAATAAGGGTATACTATGAAATTTTAAAATTAAACAAGGATAATGTGGTAATATACTTTGTCAAACTAGCTTATAAGCTCAAAAAAGTTATAAACAAACATGTCAACTTAATTTTAGAGTTTATAAGCTAGTTTGACAAGCTTATAAACTTAGACAAACACCCCCTAATATGATGTTGAATTTCCCCAAGTTCTAAAAGATAGATCTCCATGATATTATTCTATTTCTTCTTCTTAATCATATGCAGTATGCTAATAAAAAATTGAGTAAATTAAGAACGTGATAATATTTGCCTCACTTGGCAGATCAGGAGAATTTTCATATATTTTGGTTTTTTTTTTTAAAGATTATCTTTGATCATTGGATTCGGATTGATATTATAATAATATTAATTAATTATTAGTTTTAGGTTTATCATATTAGCATTGTATTAATGGTTTCAAGTTTAATCAACCCATCAACCAAGGGCGTATCCAGGATTTCTTGTCAGTGGAATCAAAAGATCTAAACTGATAAATTTACAATAAAATATGTCAGTGGGATCAAATTATCAATTCTATAATTGTCCTTAATGATTGTTCATATTCTAAAAATGTTGCATAATTGCTTCATTGACAATGCCATTAAATATCCCTCTCAATATATGTAATAAGACAATCATTTAATAATTGATCTCTTGTTCGATTCAGTAGTCGATTTTTCACAATCTTTATCATAGAAAATGCTCTTTCAACACTTACAATTGCAACATGTAATATCAATGTTAATTTCACAAGTAGATAAACCAAGTGATACACCATGTTCTTCTTTGTTTGAACCAACTTTTCAGCAAAAGCACCAATTCCATTTAATGTCAAAAAATCATAATCAGGGCGAATATCAAGAATATAAGTATGTGAATATCAAGAATATAAGTATCCAGTTAGTCTAGTAACACAAGCTCCATTCATGAAAAGTCACATGGATAAAACTGAGCAAGACAGATCAACTTTTCTTTGTCAAAAGCAAAAAATGAATCATTTGGACTTAAACATGTCGCACAAAGAAGCAACTTTGTATTCAAATGATTAAAACGACTATTTAGCTCTTGGAGTTGCAAATTTGTGGTAGCATAAAAACATTCCACTTGATAATGATGTAAATTATTCCACTTGATAATGATGTAAATTTGTAATTTGATGAACTTTGCATCATGACCGCCTTTTCATTTGAAAATTGTCATTCATATCTAAGTTAATAATACAATTTTTCTTTAGAAAATGAAGAAAATTTAGTTAAAAAACCATCTCATCCATCATCTCTTAACATTTGTAGCCTTGGGTTTGATAACTTCACAAATTTCATTGCATTAACAATATCTTGATCTTTTCGTTGTAAGACATTTCATAATTCACTTGTAATGTCTGACACAGTCTTCGTCAAATGTAAGATAAATATAAAATCAAAAGACTGTATAAACTCTTACAAAGTAGAAGTTTGAGCTCTTTGTTTAGGATATGAATCATCCTCAACAACATTATCAAGAACATCTACCATAGATGGAAAACATAACAATCAAAGATGCAAGTGTAGGGGTGAAATCGAGTCTAGTCGAGTCGAGTATCTAGGTACTAGAACTTGACTCGGTTGCTATAGTACCGAGTTCGAGTTCGAACTCAAACTCACTACTTAAAAGTCGAATTCGAGCTCAGTTAATTGAGTTTTTAATCGAGTATTAATCTAATTTTATTCAAGCTTTAATCGATCTCGAGTTCCTGGAAAAAAAAAAAATTACATGATGACAATTGACAGATTTCCTTGATCAAAAAGCTTAAATAAAGAGGGGTAGAATCAAATAAACTGAATAAACCAAACATACACCTCTTACTTACTTCAAACAAGTGTATATATATATTAACGCTCATTTCATCTCATTTGCTGCCCGCTGCCTCTCAATGTCCAAGACTCATTTCCTGCCCCTTGGTCTAAGAGATAAATTTATAATAAAATATATACTAAAGTAATAAATATAAAAAAATATAATCTAAAAAATTAATTTTAAAAATTATATATATCAAATTATCAATTCTATAATTGTCCTCAACGATTGTTCATATTATGAAAACGTTACATAATTGTTTCATTGACAAAGCCATCAAACATATCTCTCAATATATGTAATAAGACAATCATTTAACAATTGATCTCTTGTTCAATTCCGTAGTCGATTTTTCACAATTTTCATCATAGAAAATACTCTTTTAACACTTGCAATTGTAACAGGTAATATCAATATTAATTTCATAAGTAAACAAATCAAGTGATACACCATGTTCTTCTTTGTTTGAACCAACTTTTCAGCAAGAGCACCAATTCCATCTAATGTCAAAAAATCATAATCAGGGCGAATATTAAGAATATAAGTATCCAGTTGAAGTCTAGTAACACAAGCTCCACTCATGAAACGTCACATAGATAAAACTGAGCAAGACGGATCAATCGTGATAGCCCTTTCATTTGAAAATTGTCATTCATATATAAGTTAATAATACAATTTTCTTTAGAAAATGAAAAAACTTTAGTTAAAAAACCATCTCATCCATCATCTCTTAACATTTGTAGCCCTTGGTTTGATAACTTCACAAATTTCATTGCATTAACAATATCTTGATATTTTCTCTGTAAGACATTTCTTAATTCACTTGTAATGCCTGACACAGTCTTTATCAAATGTAAGATAAATATAAAATCAAAAGACTGTATAAACTCTTACAAAGTAGAAGCTTGAGTTCTTTGTTTAGGATATGAACCATCCTTAACAACATTATCAATAACATCTACCATAGATGGAAAACATAACAATCAAAGATGCAAGCGTAGGGATGAAATCGAGTCTAGTCAAGTAGACTATTTGGGTACTTGAACTCGACTCGGTTGCTACAGTATCGAGTACGAACCTTCGAATCTGAGCTCGATTAATCGAGTATTAATCTAGTTTTATTCGAGCTCGAATTCGAGCTCAAGCTCCTGGAAAAAAAAAAAAAAAATATTACATGATGACAATTGACAGATTTCCTCGATCAAAAAGCTGAAATAAAGAGGGGTTGCATCATAGAACAAAATACACCAAACATACACCTCCTGCTTACTTCAAACAAGTGTCTTTTAGTAAACTAATGACAAACACACTCACTAAGCTCTGCCTTGTATGATAATGAAATGTCCACTCCACCCAACAATACAATATGAAAACAGCAAACAATTACATACTTAAAGTAAGCTTCTAGTTCACATTTTCATACCAATTTTTCTCCAAAAATCCCAGCCAACAGTACAATATTATATATATAGCAAACTATGGGGCAAATAATTAGAAGGCCATATTGGCCTTGAATTTAATTAAAAGGTCATGTAGTTTTTCAGTCTTTACTAAATGACCTTATTTTTTTATTAATACAAACTAATAACAATTAAACACTAATCATTGTTTAATTAGGATTAATGAAGGCATTGAGTAATCTTTCAAAAATTATACTTTATCTCCAAAAACCTAAAATTGTTGCATTTTAACACAAACCCAAATCAAAGAAATTGCTGCCCTCCCTCCCGCCATTACCGTCGGAATAGCCCCCCTGTTGCTGTTTGTTCTTAGCAAAATCGAAGCCCCTCCTCTACATCTTCTTCTTCCTTCGCCATTAACATCTTCCTGTCAAAGATCCGCCTCATCTTCCTCCTAACATTTCGTCCAAGTATGTTGGCAAGCCTATCATGCCTGAAAACTGAGGTATAAATTATGGAGTTTGCTGCCACCAGTTAGAGTTAGATTCTTTCCCACACGTTATTTTATCTGGCACGTCTGTGTTCTCTTTTCTTTGTCCTCTTTTTTGCTGCATAACAATCAATTTCATCTTAGAAATAAGGGTCATGATGAGAGTTCCCAATAATATGTTGGACTTAGCCTCTGTTGGAATTTCATGGATGAATACATTCAAGTGATCTGCAAAAGGGGCTCCTCCATGAAGCTGTTCTATGCACAAGCATGTTTAATATTGTTGGACGATATTTTCTTTAACCAATTTCTACCTCTCCAAGGAGTAGTAAATATGTCCATACTTTTGTCCCATAATTGCAGGATTATGTGAAAGGAGAGATCTAATGCAGAGTTTCTTATTCTTTTCTATTTTCCTTTTCAATCATTTGTTTGCTTAGTTTGAAGTTATTCTGTTAATTATTCAAAAGTTTGTATCTTTTTGTTTGTTAGGTGGAGCAGTTGCATAAAAATTTTAGGCTTTGTGGTTCACCTTCAGAGAATTATTGGAGAAAATCAAAGTTGCCGCATGCTACAATCTTTAAGCCTCAACATCCGTATAAACGTTGTGTGGCTGAAACATTTAAGGATTTCCCTACAACAGATTTAGGGCTTATGGAGACCCTTCTTTTAATTGATCCAGCTGATAGAGGATCTGTAGCTTCTGCTCTGAAGAGTGAAATATGATATAGAATCTTTTAAATGATGGCCACAGTTCTTCAATTGAGCAAACATGTTTAATAACCAAATATTTTTGTCGGAGGATGTTTTTGGATGGGCTTATTGGTTCTCAAGTTTTTTGGATAATGGAGTTTGCATCACTTGGGAACAAGCAATACCTTGTCTTTTATTCCTGTGCAGTTTTTGTTTCTCCTCTCTCCTTAAGTTCATAAATGTACTTGGAAACTGCTATAACTGCTAGAACTATCATTTTCCACATTTCTTTATTGTATTTGCTTCCTGTTAATCAATATAATTTCCTCAGTTTTTCTCTTAATTGATTGCTTGGTGAGTGAGAATCTTGGTTGACAGATATTTAGGTTGTTGTTTTATCAGTTTTTCTTTTAATTTGTTGAACACTTATTAGTAAAACGGCTAATCCTATACTATGCAATTTCAAGATTATGAATAAATTACTAAACGTGTTAGAACAATTTTCTTTAGCAGTTTCTTTTATTGGTGTTGATGCTTGATTTTAATACCAATGACAACTCACACGAGCAAAGTGTTAAGAGAGTCTTAGAAATTACACGTGATGGATTCATGAGATTTGAATATGATGCTGAGATTATATATGTTGCAGAAACATAAATAAAAGATTGGCAAGAGAGGTTTTTAAAGTGGTTCTGATGCTTAAAGCGAATCCTACATCCACTATTATTTTGCTATTCTCTGACTATTTATATGATATTACCCGTAAGACATACAAAGATGGAGAAAAACTTTGTTTACAAAGAAAAATAATAAAGCTCAAATCTATGTCTTGCTCTCATATGTCCAGCCTCATCCTTTTACGAAGAGAGGTGCTCATTTATACACCTTTGAGGTCAATGTAATGAGTGCTTTTACAAGTTGTCTTAACATATTAAGAGCTCTCATTCATCCTTATCTTAAAATGAGATAGGATTAGTATAAAATATCTTTGAGGTGGTATTGGTTTGACAGCTAGTACACTTTGTCTTTAGGCACATGTTTAGTTGACATCAGTATAACTTTTTAGGCATAACACATGGGAATAAAGAAAAAAAATGATCACGTAAATGGTGTATATATCAAAATCTTTCATTGAATTATTTTGTTTAAATTTCAAAAATCTTTCATGAAGCATAAAGCAGTCAAAAGTGGGAAAACTTTCTTTTTAATGTTATTTCTATTACTTTTTTAGAATGATTGAATAGACGATCTAGAGATATCGTGATTCATGGCTGTTGCTGCTCCTGTAGTTTTCCCTTTGAACGTAATGGAAACAAAACACATAAACAAGTTGTGCATGGCACGTCATAGCCTTAATAATTGAGGACTAGTTTTTATAAAATAATTAATGACTTTGTTATAAACAATTAATTACACAGATAATTGATTTTGATTAGACATTTTATTAGTTATAATATGATGGCAATTGACTGATCGTGTCACCTAACTCCATCACATATTTAATATGTGGAAGAACTTTAATTAATTAATCTGGCCACCCACCAACAGAATCCATACTATTTTTTATTTATTAATGAAACCCCATATAAAACAAATAAAAAGAAAAAAAAAATGATCTGTTTTTGTCATAAAATTAAACGTGTCAAACAAAATAAAGGAGAGGAGAAGGAATGGGAGTAGTTAGCCACTTAGCCCTAATAATTGAGCTTCTTAAAAGAGTAATAGATGGCTGTATGAGATATTTCAATAAAGAAAGGAAGAACAAAAATTGTGGTGAGACATAACAGTTCCAAAGTTGACACGCACATAGAGATAGAGTTTCATATTAAAACACTCAAACAAATTTTTTTGGATCACCCAGTTGCTTAGGAAGCATATAATTAGATGAGTGGATGGTTACATTTCTGTTCAGGTTTTGTATATGCAAAAAATAAAATAAAAGTAATGTTACAGTCACTGAAATAGTACGTCAAATTTATACATTTAATAACGTGATAAAATTATGACCATTAATTAATTTTAACTAAATATTAATAGATGGTCAGGATTTTATCACGATGATTGTAGCATTATTGTTATCCTTTTTGCGTACACAAAACCTGAACAGGGCAGGAAGTTAATTTGATCACGCATCTATCACTATATGCAATTTATGAGATTACGACATAAAAAAGCAGATGAAGAAAAGAAGGAAAACAAAGTGGAAAGGTCTCGACACTGAAACCATGAACTCAAAAAAGAAACTAAAGCAGATATGAATTGACGCATGAAAAAAATGATAATCGATCAGATACTTTGCTTTACGAAAGCCGAAAACACCAAATCATAAAGGCTTTATTATTATTATTATTATTATTATTATTATTATTGGTAATTGAGATGTGTTCTATAAGTTCATAGAATCAAATAAATCATAATGTTATTATAGTAAGTGACATCAAGATTTGAATAAAAAAACTCAAAAAAANAACAAAACAAGAAAGTTAGAATTGTCAAAAGCTGGTTTTAGACCGGTCCATAAGCTCTTTCAAATCTCGTGTTAAGATTTGTCAAAGGCTGCTCCTGCCCTTTTGCCTAATTCTTTCTGTAGTAATTCAGCCACAACGTGCGGCAAAACTTTTACCACAATTTTTACCTAATTTTGACTTTGTTATTATTTATGCATTTATAATGTGCCTAAAATTTGATCCATTCGCTAATTATTTTCTTCCAATTTTTCTTGCCAAGAAATTAAGAGTCAACGGCTTTTTCCCACTCAAATAATGGATTAATGATATTTTCTCATCCACATATTTTTAAAAGACTACTTTATTATCCAAATTTATATTTCGTTTCCGATTCCGGCATAGTTGCGACTCTAAAGTACCACCAGTCTCTTATCTGATCATCACTCACCAAAACCCCTCAAACCCTACTCCTGACAACTCTGTCAATCACCAACAATCGAGCAATTAAGGTTTACACAATTGTTCCTCCAAAGTCAAATTCTAATTAATCTCAACTATCAAAATTCAACTTTTTACCACTAAAATACTTATCAGCCTCCTATTTTCAAAAGTCCTAACAACCTGGAACGGGTTTGCTCTTTATTCGTTCTCGGAATATAAATTTGGGTAGTAAAATAGTATTTTACTCCCTCCGTTTCACTTTAATAGACGTTTTATGAAAGTATTTTTTTGCCAAAATAAAAGTCGTTTGACTACTCCATCCTCTCTCTCTTCCTCGATGAATTCTCCTCTCCTTTGTATTCCATTTTTTCTCTGCCCTCATCTCTTCTCTCTCTTTCTCCATCTCTGCCTCTTATCTCCTCTCTCTCTTTCTTTTTCAAATGCAGGCGAAGAGCAACGGGAGAATCAAAATTTTTCCACTGCAATTTCAGTGAAAGAGTCGGTATGAGGAGAGAGAAATTTATTTTCTTAAAAGTTGTGCAAGGTCATAAAATGAAACAAAGGGAATAATCGTCTGTAGGTGGGAAATTGTCATCAAGTCATTATTCGAGTAGAAAAAAAAATCGTTAACTCAAAAATTAATTAATTTATTTATGTGTCGGGAAGTCAAATTTGGTATACATAACAGAATACATGTTTCGCACTTGTTATCGACATAACAACATGAGCTATGCAATTAACGTTGCCTACTTTTTCTATTATTATATATTATTTCATGTGTATTTTAAACATTTTTAATTGACTTAATGAAGATAATTTCAAATATAGAATTATTAATAGGGACCATAAGGGCATGTTTGGCATTATCTTGTAAACCCCATTTTTTCTAATATATCTTGAAAACGTTTTTGAAATTTCTATTAAAATTAGTGTTTTATCTTTTATGTATTGTTGTAAACCGTTTTAAAACATATAATAACCCAACACATTTTCTTTAATTTTTTTTTTTAAATTTCTACTCAAATAACAAAACAAACACACTTTCTTCATCCCACTGAACGTTTTTCTGTTCTCTTTATTTTGGTAACGTTTCTAATACTTCATCATTTATTTTTATTTTTAAGAAATCATCCAATGAGCGTTACACTTTAAGCATAAAAATAGGTGAAACTGAAAACCGTTTAGTACAAGGTGTGAGAGTGCTTTACGTTGCGATTACTTGCCATAAAGGTGCTTAAATTGGATAAAAGTTTATTCTTGTTTTTGCAAAACAAGAGTTTAAGAGCTTAATTTATCAAACACAATCATAATATATATATAAATAAAATGTGTCTTAAACTTCAAAAACCATATCTAATCACGGTTGTGTCCGGATGACAACTTTAGTTTCTCAGAGATACGAATTTCACAAAATAACCACGTATCAGATTTGTGACTTAATAGATACTGAAGAAAAAAAAAAAAATCCCTTATCTTAATATCATTTTGTGTAAATTAATCTGTTACCTTTCCCAAAAATTGGCAACGTTAATGAATCAAATCAAGTCATGTCTGATTGAATCAATTGCTTCTGAAATGAAATCAAGAGTCAAGATTCAATAGAGATTGTTTGGGAAGAAGAGAAGGTCCTTATGACGTGACATAGGGTGAAAAACTGAAAATAAAAGTTAGATTATGAAACAATTATAGCCGCCTTCAATGAAGCTTGAAGCATATGTGTTGTTTAAAACACATATCATAAACCCATCTGTCCATCAAGAAGTCATATCATCCAGCTATAACCCATTACTTAATTTAAGGCATCATGCCCCCCGACACTTCTCTTGGACCTCAAATGAATGTATAGAATATACAATACACTTCGATGACCTAAGGGAGGACCTAAATTGATCAATATAAGGACTTATTATGCTCAACCTCAATCTTTGTCTTTGTCCATAATCAGCAAAACATTGAAGGCAATGTCAGCAAAGGTAAACAAATGCCACATGAAACAAATTGCTCAAATCCATGAAAGTCGAGTAGTTAATAAGAAGTATCTAACCATCCACTATTATTTGGTACCAAAATTTTGAAAAAAAAAATTAGCGTTATGGCAACCTCACAACCTACCAATAGAAACTGGGACGAAACTTGTCCAAAACCATAAATCAGGCAGAAAATCCTTCACATATAAAATGGGTGCGCATGCATAATATCATAAAATTGGACTCATCTCATGGTACCACAACCAAACCAACATTTCAAAGTCGACAATTCTATAACTCGTTGGACTCAGCAAATAATAAGCAACTTCAGAATTGGAAAGAAGCAAGCATGCACGGATAATAGACCTATTTAAATTTTAATTCAATAAGATGTCAAGCACCCAAATATTCAAAATACAAGA